ATATGCTAGAAATCGGTCGCATCATTTTGCTGAAAGAGAAAAATTGTAATTTAGTGGCTAGCTTGCATATATAAACACTAAGCTACAGCATGTACAAATTTAGTAATGGATGGAGGAGAGGTTTCCTCACAGTTAACTGTGAACAACTTCCCTGCCCTGCAGGCCTCAGCACACTGCTAAGGTTGGGTGATTTGTCACAAAACATCAGATTAGTAGGAATTCAATTATGAATTAAATAGGTCATGAAAATATACTAATGCAGCTAAAATATAGTTTAATATACTGAATTCAGAGAAATGTAAACTTTTACCTTTCAATAAAGAAGAATATTTTCTTTCAGCTCCTTTGTGCTGCTTCTGCAACTCTGTAGATCTCAAGGTCACACGGCCAGGAGGAGGCAGGTTCCTTCCAACTCCAAAACCTTTAGACTTGTTCTGTCTCCTCTCCCAAGGCTTTTGAGCAAGCAGGGCAATAAGTTCCTTGTTTCTAATCTCTACCGGAATGAATGGATGTTGTTGCCACTGTCTACTCCCAGTCCTTTGAGGCCTAGTCAGGAGGACAGGAGCAAATCCACTAACCTCTAGATCAAAATTCAACAATAGAGGAAGTCCACAAGCAAAGGCGGCACTGAATCCTTCTTCCTCCTCTTGTGAAAATGGCAGAAATGCATCTTGCTCTTGCATTTGAGAGTTGTACTGTACTGTTTGTCCTCAATGTACAGGAACTGTAATGATCTGATACAGCAGATAGTCTTACATAAAAGTCTTCCTATTACATAACTAATAGAAAACATTTTTGAGAAGTAAAGGGGTAGCAATATATGAACACCTTGCCTTAAACATTTTATTCATCGTTCTAAAAGAAAATATTTCATAGGAGGTTTCTTTTTTTTAATTTTTCCAAAATTTCCAATTTTTCCAATTTTTCAGAAAAACACAAAAAAAGTCCTCGGAAAAAAATGTTTTTTCCCTGATTTTTTCTAGGTTTTTTTTCCGGGCCTTCACATCTCTAGTCACATTTGGAGACACTTGGTCAGGGCGATATGGAGAAGCTGCCTTAAATGGACAAGTATAGTTTCTGATGCTCTAGGCACTTTTCATTATTCACTTAAAATAAAAGTCTCCTGAGCTCTGCCAGAAAGGGTACAAACATGAGTAATAAGTACAACGAGGTGATAAATATATAGGCAAAGTTATCATTTAGCAATAAATGTTTCCTAATAGTTTTCTTCCTCTATCAAAGATTCATTATAACAGAAAGAAAAACTGTTTTTGAGTGAAAAATGTTATTGGTCTCAATCTGTCAGTGGAGTTTTGACTCCTTATCATATTTTTCTTTGCTGGATTAGAAAAAAATATATATGTTTAGAGAAATTCTAGTACAAAACATCCATTCATTTTCAACACATGCCTATATACTTCAATTAAAAAATTAGTCTGCTTCATAAAGAAAGCAACTGTTAGAGGTTAAAATAGAATTTAAAAATAAAAAACAAATCTTTATCATATTCTTTTCATGCCGTGATACAAATGGAAAATAACTATAACTCATGAAACGTGCACCATTTGAAAATGACCTTTTCACTTTTGACTGTGTGAGTAAGTGGTATTCCCTGTTCTAAAAAAGAAACGGCCTTTTCATACTAGCAATTAATTAACTTGTAAATGGTACCAACTTTATGTGAGATTTGCTACGTTAATTGTGAGGCAGCAGGAAGTTTGTGGTATCAGCTGCCTCACTTAGACTGTCTCCAAGAACACCGCACTTCCTGGATGCTCTGTGCTCCCGAGAGGACTTACTCTACGTCACACAAGGTTAGGCCCCAAACCATTACAAGGATATAGCAAGACTGTTACTTTTTTACTATTACTAGTTCCTTATATGTATTCCTGTAAATAAAGTGTAGTTTCCACATCACAGTCCTCATCAAGGTACTACCAGCAGCTCTTTAGCTGCTCTAGGCACATGGTACAGTGCTCAGCCAGAGAGTTAACACAGGACCCTGCCCCTTCAAACTTGCAGAGGCAAATACAAGTGGCAGCCACCTTGGCACCTGTATGGCAGACACAGTCTCCAGACGTGCTTCTTTTCTAGTGAAGAAAACAGCTTCCCTGCTTAATATACACATCCCAATTTGGGGGGCTGATTTTTTGGGGGGAAAGTCACACATTGTATGTGAGAAAATATGGTATGTCCAATACATAGATTTCAGCGTTTCTGGTAAATTTTATTTTAAAAGTGTGTCTTTACTTTCTCCTATTCCTTGCTGTTTGTCCCTACAACACTCACTCTTATTAGGGAAAAATACCTACTTCCTATTACCATATATGACCCAAAAACTTGTGTTAGGACTATAACCAAAGTTTGCAGAAACTTCCCTAGTCAGTGTAATAATGTTTAAAATTTGTGAGAGTGACACAATAACCCAGAATGCTGATGACCACATTAGATACAAACGGAAAGAAGAGTGTTACTTGGGATGTGCATCCTTGCTACCCAACAAGGCCTGACAATTAACAAGCTCAAGTTAGTCTGAGATATTTCGATTAGGCATTGACGGAAAGCCAAAATGGCAGCTAACAGACTTTAAAAGAGGGGGAAAAAGGAGATTACTTCTATGTCAAGCTCAGGAAGAATTATAAATGAAATTTTTGATGCCTGGACATGAAAAGCAGAGCAGGAAGAATGTGGGCGTTTACAGCTGTCAGACACTATGGGTTACATGACCAAGACATCAAGTTTATAGAGCTCTAAGCTGCAGAACCATTTTCTGTCAGGCTATAAATCTAGGCAGTTAAAAAAAAAATCTGTTACTAAGCTTCAACCAGACTAACGATTTTTCCATAGAATTTGTAAAGGTATTATTCTTAAGGGATCTAACTTTGTTTCCCTACCCTCTTATTCTTTAATCAATAAAATGGTATTTCACTGAAAGCAAACTGAGTGGAATCTGGTAATTTAAGACAACTACTACATGGAACCAGGGAATGTGACCAAATTACTATTCTTTTTCGGTTGGCAAATGAATAAAAAACTACTTCAGTATAAGATTATGGAGCCCAAGAAGACTGAAGCCTTCCTCCTGAAATAATTACAACCTGGCAGACAAGTACAGTTGGGGGGGGGGGGGGGGGGGGGGAAGAAGATACGTTAACTACTGCTGCATCTTGTATCATGCCTTTAGCTAGAAAAATGAAAATACTGATTTTCCTAATTAAACCTCTAGATTTATCAGCAGGTCTGTGCAAAGGTAACAGTCCAATGGAATAGTCATTTTAAGACTAGAGACTAGTCCAAGTGATTTCAAGAGCTGGACATAATGGCCAACCTGGTTTAAGATATAAATCCATTAAGCTTTTACCTTCTCATTAGGAGAGTAAGAGGTGGTTATAGAAACAAAGTAATAGATGAATTATTGCAGGTTCTGACACCTGTATTCTGGGGCCAATGGGGGTAGGGGGAGAAGGGGTTGATTCTGGGATGCATGCATGAAATTACCCTGCCTTAATTCAAAAAAGGCAGACTAGACATGGTCATAAATGGAAAAAAAAGTAAGATTACATGCTCTTTTCCCTGCCTGTG